GAATTATTTCAAGATTCCTAAACTAAGGTTGTATAAGCAAACTTCACCCTAGCATGTCCTGGGTTTGGAGTGCCTGGTCTGCAGCCTTTTGCATGTATTTTAATAACTGGCTCTGTTTGCTGGATGGATTTTGTCACCATCAACATTGTGCAGTTACTGTTTCTAGCAGTCTCAGTGCTCAGATACGAGGGCCTGAAGAATTAACAATTATATTCACCGATACTAATGGACTGTCCAAAAGGCACTTTGCTGGCTTAGCAGAGGGAGGTTTCCTTTCAATAAATGAAAATTTAACGAAAGAGCTCACCTTCCCCTACAGGGGGAAGAAATCTCTGTGTCCACCAGAGAGGGAATGATGAGCTGTTTGGTTAATATGCCTCCCCGTTCTTCCTTCAGACTGAAAACCTGCCCAGACTTGCTGGAACCTTCGCCTTTAGGGAGCCCAGATTCTGACAGATTCCACGCAGAAACGGCCTGGCTGTCAGTCGTGGCATTGCTAAGAGATTCCAGTCATCAGGACCCTCCACAACACAACCTGTGGATGTAAAAAAAGAGTAAATTACAGTTGGTAATACAATGGAAGTCCTGCATTTCAGGTCTCTCGTTTCAAACCAGATGCGCGGAGCTTTTAATTAGGCATGTAGGCTGGCAGGAGTTTCACCACCACAAACCTGTTCATCAAGTTGACTAATTAACGTATTTGTTTCTGAGTGTTCCAGTGTCAATTCTATCAAGTTATTCTCTAAAAAGGAAGTGAAACAAAGCAAAACTTCAGAGTCTTGTGAGCTGTCACTAAAACCTGTGAGTGTCACATCGGATCTACACAGAACAAGGGGCAATTATGAGATTATAGAAGAATCAGGGCTCTGTGAGCACCGATCCCTATTACACAGTCTCAGGTGAGGTCCCTCACTGCGTGATCCTTACCAATGCCACCCAAAGTACCTGCTGATGTCAGCTCAGACTGTATTAAGACCTAGAATTTCTGAGAGAGGTGGAGGTGGGGAGGAGTAAGAATAATATCAACAAGCACGTCAGGCAGTACCGAGGCAGCGGGATCCTGCTGAGCTCAGCATCACGCCCAGGACTCGGGAAGGCTGACTCCAGGGATTAAGTCATAACCCTGGAGCTGAGATTGGTTTGCACAGCTCCTCTCCCAGCTGTGGGCTGGGGGGAATGTCAGAAAGGAGATTTTAGAATTAAAGAGTCGGTAGACTGAGACGTAATGGTAGGATGGGGAAGTATGGGAAGCAGATACAAAGCTTAACATTGCCTCTGGATGCAGGCTGCTCATCTAAATGTTTTTAAGGACCTTGAGGAACTTGCTGTTTAGCCCATGCTGTATCAATGAGACACTTTTTAGAACTGAAAAAACAGAAATCTCCCTGCGTTCCTCACTTTGTCATCTCTCCCACTGGCTCCCCTATCCATCTAGAGGCGGTCCAAAGAGGGACAGTGTGCCATGAATTATTTACCAGTGTTTTCCTTTGGAAGACTGTGGTGGGTTGCTTGTGATTGTACCAAATTTTAACCATTTTCCTACATTTTTCAAGCCGAATGTCTTCCCCCACCTGGCTAGACACACACTCAGTTTACATTGGGACAACTTAAAAAAATAGATTCAACAATTTCCAAGGACGACCCTTGGCTTAGAAGAAGTTTCTGTGACCTCTTTTCTGACAACATCACTGCTCCCATGCTTCAGGGTGAGGACCTGCCTACAGTTGTGGTCATTCCTCACTTCTGAGTGTCTCAAATACAGAACTTATGAAAATAAAGCATATACACTTAGTCACCACCTGTGAAAAGTGGAGTTTATGTCACCTGTCTGGTACGACACAGGTGATCTGTGACACAAACATGGATAGAATTCAGTTCTCCAGGCCGATGCTCAGCCCTCTGAGCCATGAGACTGTCCTTTGCCTGTCGTGTAGTCTCCTGTCTCATTGTGCATCTCCCAGCATTGCCAACCAGGTCCACGTTCCATCAGCACACAACCCCGATTCACTCCAAGGAGGCTGAGAAAAAATGGCATTGAATTATTTCAAGATTCCTAAACTAAGGTTGTGTAAGCAAACTTCACCCTAGCATGTCCTGGGTTTGGAGTGCCTGGTCTGCAGCCTTTTGCATGTATTTTAATAACTGGCTCTGTTTGCTGGATGGATTTTGTCACCATCAACATTGTGCAGTTACTGTTTCTAGCAGTCTCAGTGCTCAGATACGAGGGCCTGAAGAATTAACAATTATATTCACCGATACTAATGGACTGTCCAAAAGGCACTTTGCTGGCTTAGCAGAGGGAGGTTTCCTTTCAATAAATGAAAATTTAACGAAAGAGCCCACCTTCCCCTACAGGGGGAAGAAATCTCTGTGTCCACCAGAGAGGGAATGATGAGCTGTTTGGTTAATATGCCTCCCCGTTCTTCCTTCAGACTGAAAACCTGCCCAGACTTGCTGGAACCTTCGCCTTTAGGGAGCCCAGATTCTGACAGATTCCACGCAGAAACGGCCTGGCTGTCAGTCGTGGCATTGCTAAGAGATTCCAGTCATCAGGACCCTCCACAACACAACCTGTGGATGTAAAAAAAGAGTAAATTACAGTTGGTAATACAATGGAAGTCCTGCATTTCAGGTCTCTCGTTTCAAACCAGATGCGCGGAGCTTTTAATTAGGCATGTAGGCTGGCAGGAGTTTCACCACCACAAACCTGTTCATCAAGTTGACTAATTAACGTATTTGTTTCTGAGTGTTCCAGTGTCAACGTTAGTCACTGTATGAATGTGGGTAACAATAGAAGGATCAGGCAACACCCAAGGTCATTCCCAACTCAAAGTATGAGAATACATTCTTGGTGTACTTTCCATTTGCTGTCACTTTTATCACTTTTCCCACTTTGAAGCTGACTGAGAGCTGCTTCCAGGAAAGTGATCATGGCCCAAGCAGATAATGTGTTTCATCTTGATACACACTAAAGAGAAAAACGTGATAATTTCTGAAAATAATGTCTCCCTTCTTCAAAGGCAAAAATCCATTAATTCTATTTATTCCTCAGTTTTCAGGGGCTTCTGATTTTTCTCTTGATTTCACATACAACCTCCTCTTTCCTATCTTTTGTTAAATACCAGTATTTTCAGGCTCACATGGATAAAACATCCTTCGAGACGACTCATTTTGTTACTATGGCCAACCTTGGAGACGGATGTTTATGATATAATTATGCCTAGACTTTCAGTTGCCTGAATCTTAAAGGAAGATATTTTTTTTTAAAGAAGACTTCAAGAGGAAGTGGAATTATTAAAGCTGGTGATAATAATAACAACCTGAGGCTGAGGTTTTGCATATTTAATTACTATAATATGATATTATCAAGTAGGACACCAGTGAGGAAAAACAAATCATACTTTTGAGCAAAGAGAGCCTTTTTACTCCACTTTATTGGATAACAAATGCTGTAAACAATTACCATTTCTGCATCATTTTCTTAGGTGGCTCTATCTACGTCTATAGTGTTTGTGTAACAGTCATCATACAGAGTCTATGTTGTACCATCAACTTGGAATTAGAGATGTCTTGAAAACCAAGTGTCTGCAGTTTTGAAAGCCATATGCACAATTTGATATAATTTGCCAAATTGACCAGTGATGCTGAAATCACTCAGGCAGTTCACTGGGAATCCCCTTTTGGAGCATAAACAAACTCTTTATTCCACCCTTCTGTATCCGACACTAAAAAAAGGAAACTTTGCCTACAGCTCTCTTAAAAATTACATTATAGGTGGTGTATTCCTGCATTTTACTCTTCTTGTAAAAGAACTAGAATCAAAATACTGGCCAAATCTAATGAACAGAGCTTTTAAACAGATCCTGTTTTCTACCCAAGAGAATATACATCAGCAGTGATCCTGTTTAACTTCTTCCATTCCCAAGATGGTGTAAAGTTGGGCTAATCGTCGTGAACCACTCGGGGTGGTGGGAAGTGCCTTAAAAGTGCTTAGTCTCATTGCTTGTGCAGTGGGGTAAGAAATTCAAACAGCATTTCTGTATGTTCTAAAAGACTTGGATTTATTCTGACTCCTTCATCAGTCTTAAGACTAAGGTCTTCAAAAAACCATTTTTTTTGCATTAAACAGTCATCTAGTATTTAACCCATACTTCAGGCAGACTTGTTCCTGCTCTCTTCCAAATGGCTATTCCTTTGTATTGGGCACTATTCTCTTTCTCTCACTATGATTGAGCTCTCCTTATAATGCAGCTTGGTCAAGCTACAGAACATGCCAGAAGGAGAATCTTTCTTTTTTCGGCCAGTTGGGGCTATAACAGTGCTTAATCCTGTGATTTTAATAATAGTATTTTTCCGTTATGAGCCACGTAAGCTGCTTTTCTGAAGTAAAGGACTAGGGATACATTGTCCTGTTGTGGCATTGATAAAGCAAGGTAGGGGTTTAGTTACAGGTCACAAAACAGAAATAACTGGCTTCTCTATAGAGAAGCTTGGAAACCTAGCTCAGTTCCCACTGAATACAGATTTAAGGAATTCCAGTGTTAGGTGTGGATATAACAGCACTGATGAGATAAGCCTATGCAAATCCAGGGCTGTCCTTCTCCAGGTGCTGCGCTGAGTCTCTTTGCTTTCACACATGCAGATACTGATTTAAGAGGTACCCAAACACCCTGAGATCTTGAAAGGTCAGAGATGTAGCATGTCTTAAATCTGTGCATATCACAGGAGCAGAAGTTCTTAACTCTATCATCAGGTTTCACATTATCCCCTACAGAATCACAGAATCTTCTAGTCTGGAAGGGACCTCAAAGATCATCTTGTCCAACCGTCAACCTAACTGACAAAAATAGACACCCACACAACAAACAAGGAGCATCATCACTAAACCATACCTCCCAGCACTACATCAACCCGTCTTTTGAACACCTCCAGGGATGGGGCCTCAACCACCTCCCTGGGCAGCCCATTCCAATGGCTGATGACCCTTTCAGTGAAAAAAATTTTCCTAATATCCAGCCTGAACCTCCCCTGGCGCAACTTGAGGCCATTTCCTCTCGTCCTGTCGCCTGTGACTTGGGATAAGAAGCCCTACTTCTCCCCAAGCCAGGTGTGTTGTGCAATGGATGGCTCCTGTCTGTCCTTTATGTGCTCTGCACTAGCACATCTCCACCGACCTTCTGCACCTGTGTCCCTACACACATCTAACCGTGATTCCAAACGGTTTTCAAGTTGAGCAGGACTGAATGTATTCACTGTGAGAAGGAAGGTCTTCTAAGAAGTCCGTCCGCTGGCAAACATATTTTAAAGGGTCCAATGTTGAATGGAAGCCCTTTCTGCATTCATACCAGAGACGCATTTATGTAAAAATGTTAAGATAAACTACGTTCCAGAGAGAGCTATTCCTAGATTCCCTAAGACTAACGCACCATGAGACTTTATGAATAATCAATTCAAAAAGCTGGAAAACAGAAGAAAGTTAGTTAGTTATACAGAGCACAAGATACCTATTGTGAATTACAAACTATAAATTTACATGGCAGACCATACGTGCTCATGAGTAAATCCTGCTCTGAAACTCAAGACCTAGGTAGCTGTCTACTAAGTTAAATTTTACACACCTTAACGAGAAGAAGCCTAGGAAGTGAAGACAGTTCCTTCCTAAATAAAAGTCTTGCTTAAAACAGTGAAGTGCGCTGGCAGGAAATGAAAACAGCCCCAACCACAGTGCAAAAGCAGAGCTGAGCCTTTGTGAGAAGCTTCCACAGGGCCTGGCCGACGAAGGTGGTGTTAAATCAGCGTCATGGTCTCAAGGGAGGGACATGGGGCCATTCCCTGCCTCCTGACTGCCAGCAAAGCCCAGCATCTCGGCATTCCCGGGACTGAAAGCCTTCAAACAACTCGAGAATATCCCAAGAGGAGATGAGCAGAACCTGGCCCTATGCATTGAGGAGAAGAAAAAGATGCTTCGTGGTTTGAGGATAATGTCACTAAAAGCTTACATTGAAGCTGATGATCTTTTTTGTTTGGTTGAAGCAAACAATTAGATCTGCGAATTTAGCTTTCTTGTTACAAACAGCTGGAAGATTATATTATTATACAATTATGAGAAGAATATTGTTTCATTTCTATCCAATTGAATCCAACAGAATTGACATGAAAAGCATGAAAGGATGACTTACAAGAGTTTATATCTATAAATCTTCACCTTTACCACTCCAAATGCAGTGTGTTTGCACTGCTGGTCAACCCCACAGAATCAGGGCTTTTTTTAACCTTTAACCTTGCCTCCCCTGTATTACTGTTCTAACTTCTAGCTTATGACATAATTAAAGCAACTGCAATAACTCAGCCCTGCAGAATATCTAACATACACATCTTTATCATAACTTTTAATTCTGATATGTCTGCTCTGATGCTTTTTTCTACCTTCAAGCCAAGCACCTTTTCATGACCTTTTACTCATCCTCAGCTCGTAGTTTCTCATGCAATTCAAGTGAGACATGCCTATTTTTAGCATGCAGAAATATTCTAGGAACTACACAACTGTTTGTCATCTCTGGTGGTAAAGCCTGATTGTTTTCATTTGTTAGTTGGTAGAAATTACCATGGAATTCCGTTATCTTTTTGTTGTTGGTAATGTTTACATTTTTTAGATGTTTTCTGCCTTGGCTGGGAGTTATTCAGGCTGCTCCTTCCTGACAGACATTCCCCCTGACCTCGCTTTGCACAGCTTTCAGTGAACATCTTCTTCAATCATCTTTTAGTTATCAAAAGAGCGTTTGTGATAATTAGGTTTGTACTTCCACTTAACGTTTAATAAAGCTGAAGGGATGCTGTCATTTTTATACTCACATTTTGAGAAGAGGTGGGATAACTTCCCTTAGCTTGCTCTCATATATGTTCTGCGCTATTTCAGGTAAATCACCACGCTGGGAAAAACAATAAAGCAGATAAATCGCTGTAGTATTAACACAAACTTTTTTTCCCATTAGATGTTTGTCTTTCTACAGAGAATTTATGTCTGAAAGGAATGGTACTATAACATGTTCCATTAAATTACCGTGCTGCTAAGTCTTTCTTGGCAAAGATTGTGATAAGGTGAAACAACTCAATTGCTTGCTTGACAGATTATTCCAGTAATAATGTAGGGGGACAAAAAAGAAAAAAGTTCTACTCATTATTTCAGTAATGAGATGTAGTGGGGGTGAAAGTTTTAATCCCTTTTGCTTTGGCAGGCTGCGGACAGGACACTGAATGGGATATATTTAATAAATAAACACTGCAAAGCCTCTCCTCCACCTACAGCCAAGTCCTTACTCAGCCTCCTCTTACTGAAATCACTTGGAGCCCAGTCAAGTACAGATAAAGAGCTCGTTTCGGTTTTGGATCCAAGCTGAGTATTGCTGCATCCAAACTAGGTTGGGAGCCTGGGGCTGGGGAGAGGTGGGAGCGTGGAAGGACAAAGCAGCTTTGCTTCTGCACTTCTCCGTTAGGCTCTGGCAGTCCAGTCAGGTCACAACAGTCTCTCTTCTCTGCATACAGCTGCCTCTTGAAAACTTCAAAAAGTTGTTATACCTGGATATCTCTGGGCTGTTGCTGCACTCTTGACTTTTTTTTTTCCCTAAGAATCGTCTTTTTCCCCACACAGGGATGCCCTCTAGAGAAGGGTGTCCAGTGACAGTCGCTTGACAGCAAACATGCTGATGTAAGATGGGCTGATTGTCAATCTCAAATGAATCTTCATAATCCAATCTACGCAGCTCCGTATGACCGCCCAGCAAAGGCAGGTTTTAGCTATTGGATGTGATACTCTCTGGAGTCACCGGTGGGGAGGGACCCTGCTGAAGTAAACAGAATTGCACAAGCACTTGACTGATAGACACATCATGGAAGGCTCAGGCTCGTATATCTTAAATTAATAATTAGTATTTTTAGTTGTATATGGAATAAAACACTACATAGAGATACTCTGTCACTGGTTCCCAGTCAGCAAAACTTAAATTTTGCAATCACTTGTGTAAAGTGACTTGTGAGAAGGGAGAAAAGCATTTGGAAGCCAGGGAGCAAGCCCCCAGGGCTACAGATTGACTGGGGCAGATGCTCGGGGCTCAGGCAGCTGATAATAGGCTGCAGCGGTCCCTGGTACAGCCCAGGGCACCTCCTGACCTTGGCTTTACATTGTCACGCTGTCACCTTAGGGCACCGGGCAAAAATAGAACCAGCAGCGCTACAAAATCCAACCCTTCGGCCCAATAGCCCATTTTAGAGGGAGACCAGGACTCCCTCAAGGCTGTGTACATGTAAACATCCACGATTATTACCATGGTTTAGTTCCTGAACTACTTCACACTTCAGGCTATATAGGTTATCCTTCAATCTTTCTTATGTGTGCAGTCTTACCGACATCCTTCAGTGAGGACTGCTCCCTCCTGCACTATAGATAATTCTCTGACGTGTCATACAGACCATCAAATATTGGTGTAATTTTTAACACTGTACTCAGCTTAACAGGCATAACAGTTGTTCAATGGTACAATCGTCAGTGTGATAAAATGAAATCACAGTTTGAAGACGTCCATGTGCAAAATATTAAAGTATCTTGAGCAGCTGGGAGCCAACAGTTTATTCTGTAGGTTGTTTTAAAAATAAGAAAATGGCAAAAATAGGTTTGGGTGTTTTTTTCATGCCTAAGAACATGCTTTAGGGAATACTTTATTGAGACATTTTCTCGCTGTATCTCAGTCTGGTGCCTTGGCCATTGGTTATGTTGGATAGGACCTCATGGTGTACAACCTCGTGCAGGTTCTATCTTCCCATCTTCACGTGACACCACTCTGCTGCTTCACACACTGGCCCCAGTGGAATCCTGATGACTTCTGCCCTCCTTTGTACCATGTCAGCTCTAGCTTTTTATTCCCCAGGACATTCTGAGTAACCCATTTAATGTAATTTATAAACTTTGTCGCACGCTTAGAAAACCTGTCTGGCTAATGAAGTCATCTGTATCATCCATGAAAAATCAATGGAGTGACTCACTTAAAAATACATTAAATCTTAAAGACACGGCACAGTCATGAAGCACTAATAATATCAGTGTACTAATAGACTTCAGTTGCTTTGTCCAGCCTCTTCTGGGCCCCCCACAAGGGCCCATCTCAGCCCTTCTGAGCGACGCAGTGGGGGAGCTGATCCTCAGGCCATGCCTGGTCATGGCATATATTTATAGAGCTCTAAAAAATATTTAGAGAGCGTATAGTACTTTCTCAGACATATTTAAGGGTTTCGTTCTCTGTATGGAAGGATGATTGTGTAGCTGGACTTCGTAGTTAGCAAAGGAAGTTCTTTTTGCCTGGCTCTAAACGTGGCTATCTATCCAACAGTCATGGGCTAACTAATCATTCTTGTGTTATTATATACATTAAATAAGTAATTATTTGAAATCTCATCAGCTGATTATAATAAATCAAAATGAACTAACCATCTGGAATCAGTCAGTGATCGCTCCTCTTCAACCAGAAAAACTTTACCCTAGAAGACTCTATGTAGCTAATTTAGCATAGACATACTAAAAAAAAAATATTTATATATAAGCCTATGAAATAATTCAGCCATGAGGCTGGAATATAAATATTTTATAAAGAAGCAGGCAGATCTTTCCTGTTACCTGTTGCATCATCCAGGGGATTATGCCTTCTATATTTCAAAAGATCACTGCTGAAGCTTACTGAACTGTCATTTATAGGGACAAGCATTAACCAGCGTCAGCCTTTCCTTCCTCAGTGCACCCACTGGTTTCACTGGGGGCTTTATCTGCCCCCTTTTCAACTGCCAGTTGACCGTGACTTTTTTAAAGAAGTAAATACACAGAGCTGATTAAAAACTCCCTCTGTTTTTTTTAGCAAATTATTCTCTTTTTGCAGAAGCAATCTTGGTGGATGTTACTGACCCACGGGGCTTAAACCAGGTAAAATGTGCTGCTCTTCTGAAACTGCTGCTGGCAAACCGTTTTCAACTGAACCACACACCAAAAGCAGTTTCTCTTCTGAATACTTACAATCCATAGCGGTTATTTTAGGTCTCCTTGGTTTCAAAAAATCCCACATACAAAATGAAGTAAGATTCACTTTCACAATATGAATACGTGGCTGAGAAGCACTGACAATTGCCCGGCAACTGAATTTTCTGAGTTTTCTGCCCACATGTCCAACCACTCAGAGGGAAACAATGTGACAACATCGGCTGCAAAATGCCATTTGCTGGTTTATTTGATCTTAAAATGAGTTGGCTCTTCATCCAACATTTCCAAGAACTTTATGCATTAGGAAAAATATATTGCTGAAAGAAATTTTAAAGACTTTGTACTTCTACCTTGTTTTCTGTCTGCTTTATTTTCCATAGGAAGTACTGGCCAGGAACAGATGTCACGCCTCACACTTCTGTTCTTTAACTGCAGGACTATCCTTTGCCTAAATATCAGAGAAACCTGCAAAACAAGAATTGCAAGCTTTATTGAGATAGACCAAGCCAAATGAATTCTGGAGGTAAGTACACAAACCAAATGCTGTTAGAAGACTCTCTTCTTATCTGCTGGGTGGAAATTTCATCCATTACAATGAAACACCGCTAAAAATACCCTATATTGTAAGAAAACTGGAACTGTATTTCAGGCAGGATGATTAATTGATCTGTCACCACCAGTAACACCTCTTGAGAAACGCCTTTTCACTCACAGTTGTACCCTGTTTCCATTTCAGCTAAGGGAGACCCCATGACTGGAAGTTCCTCCAAATTAAAATAAACAGTTTTGATTTGTTCAGGGGAATTTACTGGCTGTATCAGTCACAAAAACTTTCCATGACAGCAAGCCTACAGATTGCCACCCAGATGAAGCTTGGAGTTCCCTAAACGGACCATACCAGAAGTACAATCAGCAAAACACAATAAAAAGTTAGAAAAGTTATATTACAATTGTTTTGTCAGTGTGAAATTCCTGAGTCTTGTTACAAAGACTCATGCAGAAGCCAGGTTCTAGTACTTTAAAAAAAGATAAAGGATTTGATGAAAAATTTGAGGATATTTCAGGACTTCATCCTTCTTAGTGACATGGATATGTTGTTTGGCTGTTTTTTTAATGCAGTGTAGGCACACTCGTGATGTAGAAGCTCTGAGCACTTCCTTAGCAACACACATTATTTTCCTTCCCTACAGCACCTGAAAACACTCATAATTAAAAGTATGACTATCTGTGAACAGGGCCGTAATGTGTCTGAGGCAACCAAAGGCCACGAAAATTATGCTGAAATATGACAATAAAGATGAAAAAAATCATTAATGGGAACAAATATTGTGAGTTGAAAGCTTGTCGGCAACCTTGATGTTTTTATATTTCCCTCAAATACCAGAATGAGAGTTGGCCTAAGTTTTTAGCAAGTTTTAGGATAACGTGCAAAAGTGGGCCTGAAAGGCTTCATCCCCTTCTTGTGCCTTGATTCTGATGCCAACCAGCCTGGTTTAGTTCTGTAGAAAATACGGCATGTTATACAACACACAACACGGACAAATACAGCACACAAAATGCAAATAAATCCAAATTATGTAAAGTCCATCTTAAATGAACTGCACTTCAGAGCATGGAGGAAGAGACATAGGTTGTTACTCATATTCTAATAAAAGAAACTTAACTCTAGTGTTCTTAGATTTACAGCTCCAGGAAAGGTCAGTCTGAAGCGTCTCCACCATCAGCCTCCCACCGACCTTTCACTCGAGTCCGAAGTCCCGGAGCAGCTTCTGTCCCTCTGGTAACGGGTGGGCAGGAGGGGAGAGACACCAACAGAAAGCTGAAATGGTGGGGTTTTAAACAAAACTATGCTGAAATAATCGGAATATTGTGGGTACTGCTGGTGTAGGACATTCACAGTAGGGGTTTAGTGCAATCCTTACACCACTAACTTACTTACAAAGCTCCTAGGCAAACAGGAGAGGGTTTATGTAAAAATCCTCAGAGCTGAGCACTAAATGGTAATGGTATTTATGAGATTTGTGTAAGATTCTGAGAGTAAACTTTGCTCACTCATTCAAGAAACATTCTCCCTCGTGCCTTTTGGCGGTACTGCCTGAAAATGTCAGAAGCCCACTTAATTGCCCTCCCCGCCAGCACTAATGAGGCCGGAGGGGCCCGGTAGGAGCTGAGGGGGGTTCGTACCCCCCCGGCCCCGCGTCCACCATTTCCTAGCGCTACCGGCGGGCGGGCGCCCAGCCCTCCCCTCAAGATGGCCGCCGCCAGCCGCCGGTCGGCCCCCCGCCCGCTCCTCCGCAGCCCATGGGGGTGTCCCGGCAGCCTTCTGCCTGGAGGCGGCGGCGAGCCCCAGGCCAACGCGGGGAGCAACGGCACGGCGGGGCGAGGAGGCGGACGGCGGCGGGAAGGGGGGGTGGGACGGCCCCGACACGGCATGCTGCCCAGCCGCCGCATCACTGGGCGGCCCGGCCTCCCCTCTCTGCGTCAGGCGGGCGCCAGAGCTCTCCGCGGGGGGGGCGGCGGGAGGAGGCCGGAGCCGCCTGGGCGGTGAGTCACGGAGCGAAGGGCAGGGAGGTGCCGCCGGGGCCCCGGGCAGAACCGCTCCCCCCCCCCGCCAGCGTCACCGCCGCCCCTCGCCCCGCCAGCCAGCCCGGGGGGCGGGCCCCTCCCACCCCCGGGCCGCCGCGATTGGGTATCCCCCTCCGCCGCTCCCATTGGCCACTCGAGGAAGCGGTCGGCGCCCATTGGCTGAGGGGGCGAACTTCAGCGAGCCGTGCGCAGAGTAGTAGGGAGGGGCGGAGTGATTTGTGGCGTAAGCAGAGCGCGTGGGGCCGTGTGCAAACCGCGTGTGGCGCAGCCAGAAGGGAGCCGGG